GCTGTTGATTGTTACCCTCCCCTAAGCAGAGATCGTTTTTCCTCTTTTGTCCTCGTTGCACTTTATTAATGGCTGTGTTTTGCCATTTTATGTCCTCTCCCTCTTCGATCTGCTGCACAGCTATGGGCTTTTCCCAGAAACGAAGAAAGTGCTGAAGTGGAATTTTGGCTGAACTTTTCGATCTCACTGTGGTGATCAGTTTCATCATAGCGGTGGATTTGCACAGCCCCCTCTTTCTTCCAGCCTGTTCACCAAGAACATTTTAGTTTAAATCCGGACGGCCGAGTGTTAGAAGGCCTTGAGTGATTTCATTAAGGGTAAAATGTTGTTGTTTTGTAATTCAATTGTCTCATGATCCATTTGACTTGTGCAAGTGTGAGTCTCACTCAAACTGATCATTTTGTGCTGTAAAGCAGTTTGCAATCTTGTTCATATTGAGTTGACTATTAAATAGGAGTTGACCCATAATTCATCGTGTTCCTTCCTCTTCCAGTGCTCAGCCAAGTGTGGCCTGGGGCAGGAGCTGCGGTCCGTCCAGTGCCTGACCCACACTGGTCAGCTGTCCACCGAGTGCCCCGAAGCCCAGCGTCCGGCTGCCATGCAGCAGTGTGAGAGCAAGTGTGAGGTCGGCCCGACGGACAGCCCTGAAGGTGAGGGCACCCCAGCAGCTTCGGGGTGAACCAGGGCGCAAAGCCACTGTGATCCAGCTCGCTTTCCTCTGGGATCGGGCTGGCTGACCGTGCATTCCTGCACAGGCCAGGGAAAACAATCGCTCTAAAAACACCTTTCTCTGCCCTACAGTCCTGTCCAAGTCCTTGAGTGGAAAAAAAAAGTAGACATCCCTCCCAACTGATTCTTTTCTTTCCCTTGTTTCTTCCCTAGAGTGCAAAGATGTGAACACAGTGGCGTACTGCCCCCTGGTGCTCAGGTTCAAGTTCTGCAGCAGGCCGTACTTCAGGCAGATGTGCTGTAAGACCTGCCAAGGACACTAACCCCCCCCCCGCGCTCTAGCTGCAGCGGGGGGGCCGGCGGGGCCGGGAGCAGGGAGAGCCCCCACTCTGCTCACGCGGGCGCTGAAACGGCCTGACGCAGCGCTCTCTCCAGCTCGGCGGCGACCTGCTGGGGGGCCGTGCTTCGGGAAAAGCGGCGGACGATGACCAGAGGACTGTCCGGCAGCTTGCTACGTCAGTCGTTTTTTAGTGCCAGTGCTCGTGGGAGCCCTGACCAGCTCCGGTCCCACTTGAATTGTTTGGTAGGACCTTGTGCGCTCTTCCTTTTGATTCATCTGCAAGTTCAAAAGGGAAACAGGGCAAAACCTAGTATGACTTTGGTCCCCTCTAATCTATAGATGCATAACGTGTCTTTTTGAAATCTGTAGGAATTGCCAACAGCAGTCACCCAGTGGCTCTTGGATAAATCAGTTCTGTAGAAGCACATGTTTTGTCGTTTGGGCTCAATGATTTAAGTGCCTATTCTGGCAGCAGGGGGCGTGGTGATTCTGCCTCCTGGGTACTGGGTTTGATTCCGGCTTGGGCGCATGTGCACCCTGTGTCATTGTAGAGTTCGTCCCAGAGTCCAGAGGCGCGCTGTCCAGGTGAACTGGGATCTCTGAATTACCCCCTGCATGCGTGTCCTGCAAAGACCAGCACGCCGTCCACTGTGTTGTCCCGCCTGATGGACTGTGCCTGTCAGGATAGACCGCAGCTCACTGCAACACTCTTAAGGATACAATAAATTGATTGCTGTGGTTTCCCTAGGAACTCCATTGACCTAGCTACTGGGAAATTTCTGCACACGGTCTGACCTTTATATGGATTCTAATAAGGGCTGTACTGTAACTAAACTTTGTTTTTATAAGCCCTTGTTCCCAGTACAGAAAAGAATGGAAAGGCGGCATCTCTTTTAGAGTAAATGAATGCGTCTCCAGTCACAAAATGTTAATTGAATGCAAAGCAGTGTGTTAGCCTCGGTGTAAAAACGCTAGATATTACTGTCAGTCAGTTGTCTAAGAATAAAAAAAGCTCGGTTATCCAGTCTGGTAATAGTAGCTTTTTTTGAGCTATGACCTTATTTTCAAATATCTAATATGCATGTTTTTTAGCATCCTGTGTTTAAGCATTTAGCCCCACCACCCCCTTACAAATTCAGAGGTTGCACTATCAGATGGGATCGTTAATTAGTCAGATCCGAGGCTCTGACACCTGACTGCTCTGTTTTGTGACTGAAGTGGCTTCCGCTTTCCCGCTGTAAAAACAATCACAATCATCTCATTTGCCTTGGTGTGTTGGAATGGTGCTATTTTTTTTGTTTAGTGTTATTAAAGAAAGTCAGTAGTTTTCTTGGGAACATGTAGAAGACGCTCACACTATCCTAACCTCTTCCTGGTATTTTTTTATATTTGTAGAAAGAAAAGAAGCCAGTGAGAAACAGATTTCGTTGCACTAGCGCTGACTGGGCCTGACTGGTTGCCTTTAGTATTCAGCACATTGTTAATATGAGTGTTTGAAGTTAAAGCTGAATTGTTTTGTGAATGAAAGTACCAGGTGCCAGCAGTTGGATCACTTGTACTGCGGCTCTTTTTATTTCCATCAGCACTGGAGCGCCGAGTCGTACAGCTGCAAATCCTACCATCACCAGACAAAGCTCCTCACAGCGTGTGCGACAGCAGCATGCCAGGTCCTGACATCAAGACCTGACTTCTTGAACGTCTGTGACATTTGTTTGTCTTTTCTGGTTTTTTTCCCATCTGCTCCTGACTCCTTGCAGACGTGTAGCATTTGGATCATTCGGCCAAATGCATTTGAAACTGTACCTCAGGCCCGCAGGTGAGGTTTCATCTTCACACAAAATTCAAATTAAAGTGTGTATTAGCTCTTTGATCCTTATCAGTCTATACGTGAGCTATAAAAGTTATTAAATGCATCAGTTATCTGTTATTTATCAACAACTATTTACACATAAATGGAAAAGTGGCAAAATACACCTTTTGTCCTCTCCCTAACCTCATAACGATGGATTTCTCAAACATCTTCTCTTCTGGAGAAAAAGATAAGCGAACTATACATATATTGTTTAACTTTAGAGATTCGCGTTCAGTTTGCATATTAATTAGCTGAATGTCCCAGTGGGTGAAGGGCTTTGATTCTCATAGAAGACTTGAACATGGGAGCCTGTAGCTTTTGATTTGTTTTGACGGGCTTGTGGGCTTCAGACCGAACGAGTCATCAATGATTGGTCTTTTCTTAGTCGAACATGATGTTTGCAACTAAGAGAAAAGGTTATTTGGGAGGTTTCTAAAACACATTTTTCAGCTCTTGAACAAACACGAGCCCACGTGGTTTTGAGCACATTTACCCAGACTGTAGCTTTTGTTGGCACCTCCCAATGTTGAAGCCATCAAACTAAAGCTCTTGGAAAGATTCAATATTAAACGGAGATAATTAAAATAATTCAGACTAAACACCACCAGAAACCTCATGTCGACGACTGCACACTGGAGTCTGGGCAGCTTTCATGTCCAAATAACCTTTTCTTTCATTGCATTTAACAACACTTGTTTTTCTGCATATCTTACTTCTTCAATCCCTTCCCCGCTGAAAGTGTCTTTCCCTTCAAGCCATGGGGCGTGTATGTTAACTCCGGCAAATTCCCCCGGTCTTATGTACACAACTGAGATAAATAAAAAATGGTGCATTGTAAATGTGCAGTGCCTGTGACAGAGTACTTCTTATTTGTAAGAACGAAGAGCAGAGACTGTCTGCCGCAGCCATGCCAATCAATATCCTGGAGTAGATTTCCTTCCGCTGTCCTCTGGAGCTCATACTAAAAGTTAGGGCCCTAGTAAAGCTACTGATCTTTACTAGGGACTGAACAGCACACCCGGGTTTGCCACCTGAAGAAGCTCTGCCCACCCCATTTTCACAAGCCTTCAGGACAATGCCCAGGGCCGTGTCGTAGGCCTTGATCAGCTCTGTTGACGAAGAAACACAGTGCGCCAAAGGGAAGGTTCCATCCACATTTCTAATTGTTTCCACCAAGAGTAAGTGAAGTCATTCCTGCTAGAGATAGTGATGTAGTGCCGCAGTCACCTTATAACTGCTTGAGCTTGAACTCGTGTTTATTTGCCCTGGTCCTCGAGCTCCACACGATGTCCACAGTGTGCCACCGTGGAGTCTGGCCACGTTTAAATATACGAACAAAAGACCTTAGGAAACAGCATTTCGTAAAGAGCACAGTGCGGAAATCCACAGACACACTGTAGTGAATCTGGGGTCCAATGGGCTCAAGAAACTGAAGCTTCCCAGGCGAAGGCTGATGGGATTTGAGCTGTAAGACACGTCCATGACCCCCGACAGCAGAGCTCCGCGGACCCAGCTCTGATCAGCATGACTACCAGAGCCGATGCCTGATGGGTCTGCGCTCTGTCTGCATAAACCTGCATGATCTCGTTTATTTTTTTTATTTTACCATTTTATCGCCAGTACAGCACCCTTGGGTTTGGACAGGCTCTTTCTTATCTGGAAGTGAAACGGAGCTCAAATCCCACCTTCTTTCACCTGGGATGAAACAGGACTGGACTGATATCAATTGAAAGTCCGGCGGCACAAAATACCAGATTTAACCAAATACTAAAAGTTTGCGCAAGTATAAAAGGTAGGAAAATTAAGTCCATATGGTAACTTCTTTTACTTTTTGAGAAAGGGTGCGCACTGGAAGACACTAACGGTTTTCTTTGTTACGGTATGAATATAAATAGTCTAACCCAAAATGTAATTGTGATTTTTTTTAATTTAATAAATACACTAAAGCAAATTGTTTTTGTTTCACCAACTATATATTTTTTTCACTTTTTCATTTGTTAAATCAGAAGCAAAAAAAGTGCAAAACGCAGCCATGGATGATAGCCCACAAAAAATTCCGAGGGGGTCGGTCGAAAACCTAGAGTCGGCACTGACCACCGGCTGTATTTCAATGTGCACTAAATCATTGTGTCATAAATTGAAATAAACCTTTTGTAAAATGGGCGCTAAAAATGTTTTGGAAAGAAAAACTGGACTCCGGAGATTTCCGAGTGGCGCGGTGGTAATTCCCAACTGTGCCACAAGAGGGCGGTATAGTACTCGTTGAACATAAAAATTCAGTGTTGGGGAGCAGAGTTACAGTGTAAAGCTGACAACGCAGAAGCATAAAGCGGACTGCCAAATTCAATACGGGACACATACTGGCGTGCAAGGCTTTTGCGTGACCACTGTACTCTCAACAGCCCAGGTTTGCCCACTTTCTGACGTCGAAATGAAAGACGAAACGGTCCTGGCTCAGCCTAGTGATTGCTTAATTACTTGCTAATTGGACAGTAAACAATTGCCCAGTGAATTCAGGACAAAAGCTCAGCGTTTGATTACCAGGCCACCTGCAGGAGCTGCTGGCCTGCATGAGCTGTGAGAGCATGAGATGTTATTGAGACACGGGTCCGTGTGACGCGACTCGAAACTCGCCCGCAGGGCGGGGTTCCGTCTGCCTGCGGTACCGGTCTTGGTCCCGAAGGAAACCGCGTTCTGGGCGGGGGGCGTTTGTGTGAGGCTCCGTTCATACTGAAAACAGAAGTTTAAAAGACTTAACCTCCAAACTGGGGGCTTTACTACAATACCTTCCCCGTCCCAGAGTCTTGGTCTTGTAATGGTGCGCAAAACTGCAACTAATGCCCAATCTGCAAGAAATAGCGCAGCTTCTTCTAATTGTAATGTGTTTGAGCACAAAGGAGCGCTGTTACCTAATGGCCCCAAATAGTGCTTCAGCTGGGTTAGTTCAAACGTGCTGGAGATATAAAGAGCTCTAGGTCTTCCACCGACGGCACTGGTCAGCCCTGCTAAAGGGAGCGGCGCCGCAGAGCCCTACCTGCCGGCCTGTTATGGGGTTCTCTAGGTACGATACCTCTTGGGGAGTCAGGATACGGGGCCGAGATCCCTTGGCGTGGTCGTGTGCAGGAGCCCCGTTAGTGCCAGCAAATTCTTCGACGGGGGGCGTGTGAGCGTGGTGGTGTTGGGGTGGGGGGTGCACGCGTCGTTGCACCAGCAGATGAAGAAGAGAAAAAAAAAAACACGAGAGGGAGAGATCGATAAGGCGAGAGCGGCGAGTTCCTTAATCTGTGTTTGAGGAAGTAGCGCGAGGGAGGGCCGAGCGCGGCGCTGTGAGCTCGCGGCGCCGCCGGGGATGCCGTCACTGCAGAGGTGAGCAGCGGGACCGGCCGGCACGCGGCAGGACTCCGGGGCCAGCAGCACGGGACGGGCGAGGAGGCGGGGAGACCCACGCGCGCAGGGGCTTCACGATGGTAGGGGCGAATCTCTCTGCTCTCGCTCGCGCCCGCCCGCCCTGGCTGCAGGATTCCTGCACGATGAGGCGCGCCGGGGTTTGCTCTATAAGGAATGATGAGATCGGGTTCAACAGCCTTTTTGTAATATTCCTGCTTCAGTTCAGTTTGCTTTTATGGATGGTATCTAGATAAACTGACAAGCTTGTCAAAGCACATCCCTTAATGATGGGTGTACTCTGAAACTTCATCTGCACTTGGATAGACTGTCTCACAACTAATGCATCGATGTTAAGGCTTTGATTCAAACAGGGGGAACACAGAGCCCTCGAATCCGGTATATAAGCAAAAACCGATTCACAGTTTGAACGTTTGGAGAAGGCGGCAGGCTGGTGGTTTTCTTTAGTGTCCAGTGGAACAGGTTTCCCCCTGTATAGTGACTGGGGCGATCATGCAGACAGCGGATAGTTGTTTCACTCATCAGCAATACAGGAGAGCTCTCTGTATGAGTCAGGTGAAAGACTCAAAAGTTTAATGCCAAAATGTCAAATGTCTTGTTAGCTAATGAAGGGAGAATACATAGAAAGTTTATTGTTAAACCCTGAAAGCGCTTTGTTTTAAGTACTGGAATTGAATGCGGGATCTGTGCTTCGTGATTGAAATGCCCGAGTGTCAGACCTGGCGAAACACTGTTTTTTCTAGAATCCGTCCGAGCAATTTCAAACTTTTAAAAAGCACAAAATACGACTCCCAACGTAAAAAAAATGGCTCAATTGAAAGGAATAAAATAAGAACACTTTCTTGCTATTACTAGACACATTGCCGCTGCAGATACTGTGGTGTGTAAGTGTGCTAGGAATTTAAAGGGAAAAAGACGCCTTTTACTCTGATTACCTCACCCAGGATGAAAAAATGTTCTTTGCAAATAACTCCTGACAAGCTCTGTAGCTCCGCATTCACCGGTGTGTGTTTTATTGCGTCTTACACTCAAGGTGAATATATCATTTCATGAATGAAGCTTGGTAGTTGGTCCCGGGGAACCTGCGCTTGTGGTGCTCTCTCCCGAAACGATGCTGCTCTGTGCCTCCTGGGTCCTTCAAGTTCTGTCTTATTTTGTTTGACTCCAACCTGCCGGGCTTTTACACTGTACTTTGCGTGTATTAAACTTCCACTTTCCTGTGCTTTCACTCTGAACTAGTTCCCATAACGCTCAGCAGTCTTGCCCTGAACGCTTTGAGCAGAATGTGTCTGGTATGGATCATCCGGCTGCCTGAATTACCCAAAGAGAGCCGCTCGCTGGTGCCGCTCCAGCCCTGCCCTTCCTGGTGGTGTGTCGGCAGTGTGTTGCAGGTGGGGTTTGCACGCATCCAGCCTGTTCCATCCCAGGTCTTCGTGCCAGCTCATGCTCAGTCAGTGCGGTCTCCTCAGCAGCAGGGGAGGAGGACCAGTTTAACGCTGGTTAGAGCAAAGGCCTGCTAACTTCCTGGCCAGTGCGACGGTCATCCAGCAGTTCTCGAGTGTGAGCAGACGGCAGTGTGGTGACGTCATTGTTAAAAGACCACAGCTTTGGCCTTTTAAAGGCTTACCTCTTTTTTTTACTTGTTGAAGTCCCACTCCCCTCCCCCACCTGGTCACAGGTGGCTTCTGCTGTTTTTTTTATCTGTTCAGTTCTCAGAACTAGAACTGGTGGGTCTAACTGGACGCTTTGAACTCCTTCTTTCCTCTGCTCCTCATCGGTTCAGTTATCCAGAGCCTCTCTCTGCCTGTCTCTCTCTGGTCTGGGAGTTTTGAAGAGCTGCAGTACACACCCGCGCGACACTTCTGACTGAGGCACGGTGAGTGCACAGCTCTCCTGCAGAAACGAGGTCTGTCTCTGGACCTTTCGGAATTCGCTGGCTCAGCCAGGCCCAGTGCTCCTGGTGGAAGATGGATCATGCCGATGTCCACATGTGCGCCGTCAGCGGGATAAAAGACACGCTAGCAGAGGGGGCTGCTCACAAAACCTGGACGACCCGCTATGCAGTGGCCTACTGATCCTGCAAGCCCGTCCTGCAGGGGGCAGTGTGGAGTAGTGGTTGGTGATCTGGACTCTTAACCAAAGGGCAGGGGGTGGGTGGGGATATTGGGGCTCTGTCCCTGAGCAAGGTTTTCTTACCTCTGTACTGTACGTCCCAGCTGTAACTGGTGCTCACATTCAGATTGCGAAATACAAATGACCGTTGTAACTTCACTTTGGAAGAAAGCTTTCTGTAAAAATAACCATTGACTCATTTCTCCAAAAATAATCTCCTGAAGAGCCCCGTCACGGACTGTGCTGTCTGTTTTGCGACTCATTGTGTGAACAGTCGTGTCTCCTGCTCGAGTTTCTTTCTCTTCCGTATCCGTTTTTGTGTTTGTACAAGAGGATTGTGTTAAAAGTGGGCGGCACCGGGTTCAGTTCCAGATCAGGGTGCTGTCTGCGTGGAGTCTGCATGTTCTCCCCGGGTTCGTGTGGCTTTCCTCCCGCAGACCACAAACATACCGGTTGGTCAAATGGCTTCTGTGAAAAATAACTCTGGTGTCACTGTGTGTGTGTGGATGGGTGTAGCCACCCAGGGTGTAGCCTGCCTTGTGCCCGTTGCTTGCCAGAGAGGTTCCGGCTCCCACGCGACCCTGAGCAGGCTGAGGCAGTGAGAAACAGGCTGGATGGTGGTGTTAAAGTAGCCGTTTGCCCACTGCAGCCTGCCTCGCTGATTCACAGCAGGCTCCTTGTTAAAAGTTCCAAATTAAAGCTGGGATTTACTTGGCTCTTTACAAGAGACGTGATCTTCTGTGGTGGCGTGGTAACGGCTGGGGACGCTTTTAAAGGGAGGGCAAGGCAGTGAAATGGTTAAGGCTGACTCTGCAAGCCCTTGAAATCTACCCTGAGCCTGCCCTGCAGGGGTCCAGACCTTGTTAGTCTTCTTTCGGCCCTGAGACCGTGTTGAAGTGGTCTTTTTCCCTGCATCTTGACTATTGACATCCTAACACATGGATATGTGCAATTATCTCATGACCCCTCCAGGTGTTTCTGACCATCTCAGTATCTCTGTCTCATTAATCACATCAGCTTTTTGTATTTGCCCTAAACTGTCCCTCCCTCCCTATGAGCCGGGTGCTGTCATCGAGCAGTTAAGACCACAGGGGGGAAAAGTGTTGGGCTGCAGGGTGAAATCATTCCTGTGCCTCAGCTACACTGTAGTGGAAGGGAGAGCATAGGGACCGACTCAAACGTTGCACCACATCATTACAGAGATCCACTGTAACTGATTTCAAACAGCTTCAATGTGCCCAAGGTGATCTGAACGTTGCAGGCCCTTACCTGCCATTCATGAGTACTGTAATGTGGTCCAACCAATAATGTATTGTTAGTTCTTTTATTGCCCAGTAAAATATATGTTGGTGGTAATAATTTAATGTTATCTCTCTTGATATTGATATTCTGATAATAGTTTAATCAATTGCTTGTTTAAATATGGCTCAGAATCACCAGCTTGACCATCTCCATAGCCGCCCACCTTATTCTCAGTTGCTCTGAAATTTCTCGTTTTTTTCCACACCCTGCAAGAAGGGTCAGCCCTTCGCAGCAGCTCTGCGTCCTCCGAGGTCAGCTGTTGAAGACGGGGCTGGTCGGCCAACAACCCCCCTGTCCGCTGACCGAAACGGCCCCCCGGCAGTGAGAGGGGTCTGGGCAGTCGGCCGCTGCCTCTCGTGGCTCGGGAGCCGAAAGGAGTGTGGCTGTGCTCTCTGGGGGGCTTGGGGCGCATGTAAGCCACAGGGAAGTTCAGTTAGCCTGAGAAAAGAGGTAGTTGTTGGGCGATGTTGCAAACCGCGCGTGGTGAAAGAAACGGCGCTTGCTACAGAACAGGGAACCACAGATTGGCTGATTCTCGCCTGGCCTGTCAGAGAGCACTTTGCCCTCTGTGGCACCTGATGCCTGCTGGGATCTGGTCACAAGAACCTCGCGGAGGCAGGGAAGGAGCCCGTCTCCCCCAGGGGTGAAGCCAGACCCGTGGGCCACCCCCACCCTACCCCCTCAGAGCCACGCCCCTTCAAGACGTTCAGAAGCGTCTTCTGCGTTGAAGATAAATTGTGTCACCTTTCGTATGGTTTTCGCAAGACATTGAATCACTTCCACAGCTGCCTTTTGAAACAATAACATTTCCCTGGCGGGGGGCCAGTAGAGATTTCATGCCTTTGGGAAACGTTGCTTCACAGAACATGGGCCTGAGTGTTAATGGAGCTGTGTTTATCCACCTGGCTTTTTAAAAAGTGATCCTGGGGCAGTTTCGCAACTCTCATTTTGAAATCGGGGAACAGAAAAAGAAAACCGGGCCACGTGTTGTACTGATGTGAAAGACAACACAAGTCTTTTTAAGAGACATTCCGAAAATCTGCTGGACAAGGTTTTAGAAGAGATGAAAGTCTTCCTTCAGAGAGAGCGACGTGTTCTTAGATGTCTCTTTGCCCAGAGCTGTAACGAGAGCCTGGCAGTCAGTCATACTTGTTGAAGCTGAATTGGCTTGGCTTTATTTCAGGTAATGGAGTCACAGCTGGTGTAAAGACCATAGTGAAGCACTGGCACGGCCTAGATCTAGATCGTTTGGGCAAATTACAGTTTCTTTGTGGCCCAAGAGAGTGAAGCTCATCTTTTTCCTTATTTACGTTAATTTGACATGACAGGGACACAGCTATGCGTGTGTTCATACACTCCCTCAAGAGGTACCTTCACATCTTCAGATCTGCCCTCTTACAAGGTGTTTTCAGACACTGCTGCCTCAGTTGATTAGGTAGCGCAAGTCAAACTGTTAAGTGTAGAGAGTTAAAAAAAAAAGTTTGAACAGTCAGAAGACACTTTCGGACATCCCCTTTAGTTTGCCTTCTGATCAAATTGTTTTTGGTGTCCTTAGGTTTCATATTACCAGAGTTTAAAAAACACGTTCTGTGTCACAAACACCTTTGCAATCACACAGGGTTTGTGAGTCCGTTTTTGTCCCAGTTGC